CCCACTTTATACACTGTGTACATGAATTATTGATATTTTAATCTACAGGATACATAATCCCCACCACTAAGTCATTCCTGAATTTGGGATGAGGAAGGAAAACTTGTATTATAATGCTGCAATTTCTGGCGGAGCACGGTTGGTTTTTGAAGCGTGCTGGGGAGTTCTGGTGTCATTCACTCCTTTCATGCTGGGGTTGAGTTTTAGCACTCGGGGGAGCTGAGGGGAGAAAGAAAAAAAAAAAAAAAAACCAAACAACCCAGAATTAGCAGGGTTTCAAACCGAATTTGTTGTGTAGAATTCTTATAGAAATGTCCCGATTTCTAAGTAACGCCATGCATTGGGGTGAGGTGCTTTGGGCCAGCGAAACGCTCAAATTCTCTAAGAGCAACTTCATTTGAGGGATGTGGTTGGCTGACGAGGAAGCCATGGAGGCTGGTATTTATGAAAATTTCATATGAACAGTTCGTTGTATTGACAGTAATTATTTTATAGTGGTTATTAATTACAAAATAGCTGTGAAAGTCAGCCTTTGGAAGCGTGGCGTCTGTACTATTTCCAAGGCACTCTTTTTGCAAGAGCAGAAATGTTAACTGGCTTTGTTTCTAGCCATGTACAATTCACTATTTATCCCCACTTTTTTTTTTTTTTTGGTCATTTCTGGCTGATCGCTGTTCCCTTTGCTGCTTTGACTCAAAGAAAGGGGGGGTAGAGGGCTGCCATTTAGTGGCCGGTGATTTGCGGGGGGGCTGGGTGGGTGCGTGTGTTTGCGATTTGGAGATTCCTACTAATGGAAAAACAAATGAAAAGCGGGAGGGTGACATCCATTCCCAAGGCCCCTGGCGCGGCGGGTGGCCCGGTGGCACTCGCGCAGAGACGGCGTCTGGGTTTGTCGTCCCTCGTGAACCTGATGCTCAGCTACGGCGCCGGCGTTGACATTTCTTTGCGATCCTTTTTGCTTTTTTTTTTTTTCATTTGGGGAAAGGCTTTTATGAGAAACCTGATCGATTTGGCAGTGCGGCCGGGTGCTCCGGGCGATGCGAGCACCGGCCCTTTCTGCCTTTTCCTGAGACAGCGGCTCAGCTCCCGCTGGGGGGGTGAAGCTCACCTGGAGCCAGGGACAGGGAGACTTCCCAAAGCGGTGTCAAGGTAGGGAGCTGGCGGGGGGCTTGTCACCACCCACGGGTTACTAGGAGAAAACAGGAGCTTGGGGAAGGTCCCATCTCCTCGGCCCTGGTTTGCAGCGACGTCAGGTAAGCGCTGCTCGGGCTCATCAACTCGCAACGCTGCGAACCCGAGCCGCGCAGTAGTTTGCGAAAAATTCTAAATTCTGATTTTGTAAGTTACTGTGCCTTGTTATGAACTTTGGTTTTGACTAAACAGGGATTTCAACAAAAGCAAAATGTTAATAGCCCCTTTTGAAAGTAATTTCTAAGTTGCTGGACAAAACAAGAGGAAGAAGAGATTTTTATTTTAATCCATCTGTATTGCTAATATATATTATTTGGTTCTCTTGGAGAGGTCTTACTGTAATGTGATGGGGGAAATGCTTTTTTTGAACTTTGCAGTAGCTTTTGGAGCAGTAACTCTGAGTTAGTCTGCCCATCTTCCTCTGCTGAGTATTAAACTTTTGTTGATCTTCCACTGGAAATTAGAGATTTCCTGAACGAAGCGTAAATGCACATTTACATGTACATCGAAGTCAAAATCAAGGTATTTTCTTTTTCCTGCAAGGGCGTTACGGATGCATCCATTAAGAAATGGTTCTGCCTTAATTTGGTTATCAGGCTAGATCAGCTACAATTCACGAGGTCAGGCCGCTGTCAAAGAGAACCATGACAAGAGCTTTATCAGCCCTGGGATTTACAGCTGCTCTCGCACGCGGCGGGGCCCGGGCTCGGAGGTTTTGGTCAGACAAAACGTACCCAGAGGATTATTCCAGTGATAATCGACCTGGTGGCCCAGATGCCAAAAGGCTGCTTCAGGAATCATTTACGCGGCGCTCACCCCCTTCGTCCCACTTTTTTCCAGCCTCACCGCTGAGCAGCACCGAGAGGTGAAGACCGTGCGAGATGAACCTCTGGCTTCACCCAACCTCTGCCGAGCCATTCAGCCTCCAGAACAGACGGAGAAACTACACTGCTCAGTCGAAGGTTAAGTGCCACGACGGCTTCTTGGGTGGTATCATGGTCACGGTAAGGTTCAATGAAAGAGTCAGACACTAAAAACCCTTAAATTTGACATTTTATTTCATTGCAGAAGAAAATCCAACATAGGCCTCATTATGTTATGCATCTTTAATTATAAAAATAAGCAAAGAAAATAACTTGCATCTTTCTCATTACTATGATATGTTTCAAATAACCTTTATATGAACACACTGAGCTTTAAAAATGTAATTTAAACAATAAATAATGACATATACCAGATATGCTCACTGTTTATTCCAGTACTCAGCAAAAAAAAACAAAAAAACCCAAACTCTCTCCCCCTTCTAAGAATCTTTAAATTATAAATACATAATGCAAATTTATAATGGCACAAAACATCTAAAGTGCAAACAAATCACAATGAGAATCATGCAACCATTTCTAGATAAGCCCCTCCCCGCCCCCAAGAGAAATCATTTCGCAATGAACGCAGGATTAAAAAAATAAAGCATTAGAGATTAAATAAAACATGAAATAGCTGGACTTAACATCGAGAATCATTCCCCATCCCCAGGGGGATCGCTCTCACCTAAGTCAAACCACCTGAAGGCAGGCATCCTTCCCCGTCGAGGGGAAGCGCCTCTCCCACCTCCCTGTCGCCCTCCCCGGCTCAGAGAGAGCTTTAAGTGACCAGCTTAGGCTAGATGGTGACAGTTAGGCAGGGTGAGCCCCAGGCCTTTCGATGGGATGGACGTGTGCTCGCGGCTTCCTTCCTACTTCAGCATAGGAAAAAAAAAAAAAAAAAAAAAAAAAAAAAAAAAGTGACATACTAAAGCAGCTCAAAAATGCCGTGATGTAGCCGAGGCTCTCGCCGGCGCGGGTGCCGGCACGGAGAGGCAGAGCTTTGGGTTGCACAGGGGATGTTTACCTGGGATACCAGAGCAAATCGGATCGGGGCAGGGAATGATTTTTCCCAGCCATCTTCCCACCCACATTAAGGGGCCAACAAGTTTAAGTTCCTACTGGAAAAAGAAAGTGAATTATGACAACCCAAAAAGATGGGGTTTGGGGTAATCTAACCCTCCTCCCCGGCCCCAAATCAACTTTATAAACCATCTTTGGGTTTTCGTAGAAACGGATGCACAAAGCGGCAGAGGAGCCACTTGCCCTGAGGAGCATCTCGCTGGACCATCGTGGCTGCTGGATGTCCGCAGCGAGCCCACGGGGACCTGGGGAACCCACGGCAGGAGCTGCTCCCCGCAGCCCCGTTGTTGGGACTCTGCCTCGAGCTGGGTGAAGACCTTTTTTTTTTTTTTTTTTTTTTTTTTTTTAACTATTTCCCCAAACAGCAACATGCACTTGATGCACAAACCCCAGCGGATTTCCCTGCTCAGCAGTGCCCGCAGCGCGGGGTGCGATGCTGGAGGGTCGCACGTGCACAGTTCTGCGAGCAGTTCCTAAGCGTAAGTCAAACTTTTAGGGTCAGGATATTCAAGGGGCCTTTGGTTTTCACCTTGCAAAACTTCTTGGTGTTGGACTCTATATACCTGACTGAGATTTAAGAATGAGCAATATTGCATCTTGCTTGCCCTGGACAGCACGATTCAGAGTATTAAAAAAAATAAAGTAACAACCCTCTACCGTCAGCAACATTTTTTGCTGCTTACAATGTTATGACAGCACTTTTGGGCTACATTTAATGAAGACAGCAATATTAGAAATGCTGCCACTGCATCTGGTTTCAATATATTAGCAGCAAGTTATTGTTTAAAGGCTTTGTGGTTTAAACAAACAACAAAAAAAAAAAGTTATATTGCTTTAGATTTTGAAAAGAAAAATAGATCCCTCCTTTATTAGCTCTCTAACTAGTTGAGCAAGAGTCATCCACTCTGCAGACGGACTCTAACGGGGTAGATTTGGAGCGTGGAACTGGCCTTGTTGATCGCATGCCACAATGCGGCTTTTTTTGGCTGGCGGCAGCCCGGCCGGACTACTGTGCAGAGCCGGCGTTTGGGGGGGCCCCCAGCTACTGCTGCGGGCCCGGCTGCTCCGCTCCCAGGCTGCCCCAGAGGTGGAGGGGAGGAGAGGCAGCGAGCACTAACGCACGTGTCCTCCCAAAGGCAGGCACACCGCTTCGCTTCTGAGGCTTAAGAGAATTTAAGGAGTTTTCCTGCCTCTCCCCAGAAACCAGCTCTCTGAAGAAGCCTTACCCTGCGGCAGCTATGAGATCCCAAAGCAGCTTTTTGTCAGCCATCCGATAATTCCCCAAATAGCTTTCCAGCAGCACTCGTGCCTCGGGTATAACTACGTCTCACAGCAGCTCTGTGGAGATAGGACTTGCCAGTCTGAACTCTTCTTTTTTTTTTTTTTTTTTTTTTTTTCCCTCCCTTTTAACTATGAGAAGAGAGGCTTGTTTCTGGCCCTGTCATTTCTGTCCTAAACATTTTCTCTCTTGCATTATAAAAAGGCCACAGAGTAGAATGCGAACTCTCGAATATGACAGAGATACTGTTTCCAGGAAAAAAGAAAGAGCTAACTTACAAAACTAAGTTTATGCAATAAAGTTATTATATTCTGCTCCTTTCAAGCAGACTCTTGTGGAATTTATGTACAGTACATGACAGATTTTAAAACTATTTATACCACAGTTAGAGCAAGACCTTTAATACTCTAGTCTTAAGACAGGGTTTGTTTTTGTTAGATTTCTTTTAAAGCTTTAGACAGTTAAATACAGTACATAGATGTTAGCTTTTAAATACAATGCAAGATTATGTAACTTTCTGACTAGCTTCAACCATAGACTGGCACCTCTTTTAATCATTTCCGTAGTACAAAATGTTCCTTTCCTGATTTGGTGTGTGTCAGGGCGGGGGGGGGGGGGGGGGGGGGGGGGGGGTTAGTTTTAACTCATTTTGCACTGTGGTGCCAGGTCACGGTAACGAGAATCATCCACAGCTAGCGAGTTTGGTAAATCAATGGGTTAACAGAGCTGTATTGGAAGGATTAGGACTGTATGACACTAAGAGACCAGGAATATGACATTCATATTCGTCCATGGCCAGCACAGATTCATAACACGAACTCCACTGACATCTTTAGGATGTGCAATAGCTATTAGTGCATCTATCGTCGCCTACCAGCTTACTACAAGAGAGAATAAGCTATTCTCCTTGGTGCCAAATCTTCAGACTTCAACGGTGTTAGCACTACAGTACATTTAGAGTTTGGTGTCTGAAGGCCTGACTATTGTACGGTTATATTTAAGACTAAGATTGTTTGGGATATCTTTTTGTGGGGAAGAAAAGAGATGGAGACACTTTGACGGCGGGAAAGCTGAGACACTGAACACAGATCCATGCAAAAGTTTTGTTCGAGAGGAATAGAAAATATTAATGACTAAATCTAAAACCAGTTCCTAGTTGTTATTAAAACTAGCTACAGTACACTTGGTTTGGGTGCATTACTCTTCTAGAAAAGAGAGACTTCAGCTTTGGTAGTGCTTAGCATCCCTTACACACCCATTGTGGCTCCCCCGAGGCGTTACGCGCTTTCGGCGGAGCTGCGCTTCGCGTGGGCCGGGACGGACCCCTCACCTCGGAGGTTCCTCAAGTAGAGTTTTAGCTTCTGCGGCTCGGTGATACGTCTCCTGGCGAAGTCGGCGCGCGGGTGGCCTTGGGCGCAGTGGTCTGTCTGCAGCAGGTGGAAGAGGCTTGCCATGTTGGGCCCGATCTTCTCCATCAAGCTGTCCTTGATGGTGCTGACCGTCTCTTCATCACACTCCAATAAGCTTCTCACCAGCTTGTTGTAATACCTGCACGAGAGTGGCCATCCGTCATTCCAAGGCATCTCCCAGCAAGACGAGAGAAACAAGGTAAGAGCTGATCTCAAACCAGGAGACCAGTCCAAGCGACGTAACTATCAGAATCAGAGTTTTTAGGTCATTCAGGGTGTGTTCGAAATCGATTGTTGACAGGGCACAACGTACGGACTCTCACTGTGTCTAACAAATGCCCCAGGCCTGGAGATGCTGTGCCCACGACACGCGGAAGGAACACAACCCATCAAACTTCTAATTTCGTTGTCCTAAACGAGCAGGTGCTCCAGCTCTGACAGGCAAGGCCACGAGCACAAGCGGTTTCGGTGTGACACCGGTGGATCAGGAAGAAGGTGAGAGCGAGGAGCTGAGACCCTGTAGTAACTGGCTTCAGCGTGTGTTTTACTCCCTGCTAAACAACCTGAGCTTCTAGAGCTTTAAGAAGCAAAACAATTGCATCTTTCTAATAGACAGGTACTGCCCATCAACCAGGCTGGGTACAGGTTAAACAGGCCACTGGTGGGAGCCAGTACCACCCTGCCTGTGAGCGTGTCCATCCCTATGGCACCGTTGCCTTTCGTCCCTCTCCCTCCCCCTCTGTGCAGAGCCTTTAGCAAGGGACCAGGAGAGGGAGAAGCAAGCTCAGGGCCAAGCCAGAGCCTGACAGATGCATGTATTCCCCGGGGAGAGATCTTTAGGACACAGACTCAGTTGCCACTTCCAACAAGCTGACCATGCATTAAATCACAAGCGAGGACCTTATGCTTCGCCCTGTTGTGCGCCTGCCTCCTCCGCAGCCTGCTGCTGCCTTTTCGCCTCCCAGCAGCCTGGAGCACGCGTTCCTTGCTCAAGGAGGGAGCCAGGAAATTGTGCTGATCTGTTTCCCCAGCGCAGCTTGAGCCGAGCGGAGCACAGTGCTCAAAGGCACAACCCTCCGCGGGGCTGAGGCAGAATCAGCACAGCCCTGCGCGCACGGCTGGCTCGGGCAGGGACAGCAAAGCTGGCAAGTGGGACCTCACTGTGCGAGAGAACGTCTTCCTAGGGAGAGAAAGCTGGGAAAAAGAGGAGCAGTCCTGTATTTGCTAGGCTACTTCTGCCTGAAAGGACGTCGGGGAACTTATTTTAAGCCTTTAAGGTCACCGTGACATTTTTCCATAGGAGCAGAGAAGAGAATAACCTGCAGGTGGAGGAGGGGAAGGAAGAGGGAAATGAGAGTTCACATTCAAACTCCTTTCCTACCTCTCAGCTCCGGCCTTTAGAGCAGCCAGTGGAGGTCAGGTGAGGTTAAAGTTTCTGCTGCACTTGAAGTACAAATGGCCCGGGCTTTGGCACGGTGGAGCACAGAGCAAGCACAGCTCGGCAGTGCTAATATTAAGCCCTGAAGCGTGCACAGGAGCTGGTGATGACTACATCTGTGCGAGGCATGCTTGCAGCTTCTGTCAGTCCCAGTCCGCCAGGACAGGAGGAGCAGATCCTGTCCACCTCCCGCTGCTGCCCTGCCTACACCTCCTTCGTACAAACACAGCTCGGTGCTTTCCAGAGCTGGAGCTGCAATCAAGCAGCTCGCTAGTGCTTTTCAGTAGCTAGACTGCAAGCAAAGGCAACAAGGCTTTCCTCTCCTCCTGCTCCTGCCATGAGATTAAATCACAGGAAGATGCTATGACCTTTAACTACTTCCTCTCAGTGTCCCAGGCCAAGTGGCGCATTCTTATTCTGTGGCTATGTTGGGACAGGGGCTGGGAAAGCAGGATGCTTTAGGAGACCTCAATGTAAACTATTAGCTGGGAAATCCTGCTGCTTTTGTTACTCAACATGTCATAATATCCTTTGGCTTCGACAAGGGTTGGCGGCTGTGGGGGAGGAGTTCCCTCCGCCTCAGGAGACAGCGGCTCCGCTTCAGGCTTGGTCCTCTGGAGAGGAACGTCCCCAGCACGTATAAGAGCGCTGCCGCTGTCACTGCACCCTCCCTCGCCCAGGTGCCCACACGTCCCCCCTTCGCCCCAGTGTCCCCACAGCCCCACCAAGGGCTGCGTAACTCTACGCTCCACCGTATTAACCCAAACTGCTCTTTCAGCCCGTGAAACACCGATGCCACAGTGCTGCCTGCTCCTCGTCCCAGCCCTCGGGGGAACACTGAAGCAAACCTCTTCCAAATTTGCTTGGGGGAAGAGGGGAAGGACACACAAGTATAATTTTTGTCTTCCCACAAGTACAATCTTCTGGATATAATATCTACAATAGGATTTTCTATAATCAGTTTATGCTGGTCAGAGATGCAACATCGATGTGTCACTGGCATACCAGTCTGGAGGCTTAAGATGCTTCTAGATCAGGTCACAGCCAGTCAACATGTTAAATTGCAGCTTGGTCTGCTTGCACTCAAATTCTAGAGCATATTTACTCAAATTGTTCAAAAAGATCCTTTTTATCCCAATCACAAGACTCAGCACTGGTTGTTCCAGGGTTTAGAGGGAGAAATCCCTGCCCTTGCAGCGTGACTGTGCAGACTGCAGTAGCTCCCTGAAGCCTCTCTCTGTCCCTTGTCCTTGGAGGATGGGGACAGGGCAGGTCTGTGCTCAGAGAAAGGCACCAGAGAGCGGCGTGACGTGGCCATTTCTGCAGGCAGCCTTTGCTACCAAGAAGGAACAGGGGTGAAGCCAACCCTCAAAGAGACCATTAAGAACAGCAGAGTATCCCTAGAAATACGAACTACTGGATCGTGGCAGAATGAGGTTACAGAGGAGCACGTTTGCTGGCTCCCTTTAAGCTTTCCTAATTCTTTACATTGCCACGGTAAGTCAGAGGGCAAGGCCACATTCGGTAGTGCCACATAAACCCAGGGAAGGGGGATGGCGGCAGCCTGAAAAAGTGAATGCAATTGCAATGGGTTGGGAAGCTCTTCAACACTCAGTATGCCAGAGATGCTATATTAATCGAACTGGTTTGGTATTTAAAAGCTCTGTTTACCACTATACTGCATTCAAACTAAAAGAACTAACATTTAAACAAACTCCACACTTTGAAGTAATGTATGTCCAGTTAATTTTACAATTCTCCCCTGAAGACGTTTATAAGTGTATTTACCAAAAAAAGAGAATCGGAAGAATGCTGGTAAAACTTAACAAGGATTTGAAAAGGCAGAGAGCGTTACATAGGCTAAGCTATATTAGGACCTGGAAGAAGTTAGTCAACTTGGTTCCTCTCATTTCTTTCTCTGTGCCTCACATTTCTGCATTTGATGCATTTCAGCTGAGGAAAGCTCCACGTACCGGTTGGAGAACTGATTTGGAAGCTGGACGACCTCCGTGATGGCTTCAGGGTTTCGTTTCGCAATGCCGCACATGTCCAGTTTGCTGTAGCACTCCTCCTGCACTTCGGAGATCATTCTTTGGAACGTGGAGCACCTCCGGATGGCAAGGAACACCTTGGACGTAACCCCATTTGCAATGCATTTCAAGCTTTCTTTCACAAAAGCTTTTCCCTGAAAACAGAGGAAAAACCTTAAAACCGCAACAGCTTTCATCGAAAGGGATGCATTAACAGATACTCCGCTGTGGCTGGCTGCTATTAATTACCCTTGCTGCAATTACAGACCTGCTGGAGGTCCCTTACCAAGCACGGCAGGGAATTGGACCCTAAGTGCTCGCAATTATTGCACAGTTATCATTCACAGCAGTTTCAGTTGGGGTGAACGCAAATCCGGAGAGAACAGCGAGCTCCTGCTCCCCAAAGATGTGGCAGTCTTTGGGTGATGGGCCAGTTCTGCCCCCCGGGAGGGGCCCGGCCCGCTCGCTGCATACCAGCGATTTAACGCATCTGGTTCACCAAACCTCAAGATGCTTTAAGAGCTTTTAAGCTTGTCCTTGGGAGCGAGAGCGCAGGGAACAAGAGGGTGTGCGCATTTTGGGAAGAAAGTACGAAGAAAAAGGGCCCTTGGCAGAGCCACAGTCCTCTGATATTATCCTATTTACTCTGCTGCGAGCGACTGCAGCTCCGGAGAGGCTGATCTGGCTGTGCATTCCCAGGCCCGAAGACTTCCAATTCAAATCCCAGCCCTGTGCCAGGTCACACAGTCAGAAGACTTACTTTGTTAGAAGAACATTTATATTTCCTCCTGAAGAGGAAACTTAGCTCTCCGCCCCACAAAACACTCCTTGCCAAGTCCTCACACATAGCATACAGTATGTGGAAAATGTACTGTAGAAAACAGTCCTGAAGGATGCATTTGTAGCCAAAAACCAAAATCATGGTTCAGAGGAGTAGCTAGGCAGCAGGAAGGGCTGCAAGAAAGGAAGGGTTAAGCCTGCACAGACCCCGTCTCCACGAGGACAGAGAAATTAAGGCATCCATTCAGCACACGCTTTAGTGCCGCGGGACTTGTAAAAACACTTTATTGAACCGGGGCATGAAAAGGGAGGTCTAACGGCGAGGTATTATTCTCATCCCCCTTACGCTCGTACCGTACCTGAGTGTCGAATTTAGCAGCGCTGTACAGGAAGGACTTGCAGATGTCGTACATGCCATCCGTGTCGCACGTGGAGTTCTCCAGGCAGGCGAAGGCCCCGCAGCCCACCTGGAGGGCACTGTTCAGGCAGCGAACCACCTCGGCTGCAGAGAGAGAGGCACAGGCACAACGTTACGGACGCGCCGCTCCCCGGCGCCGTGAAGCCCTTCTCCGGCGCAAGGGCACGGCGCGCTCAGCTGCAGTCGAGCGGTAGGAGCCTTGCTGCTTTTCAAGACCGGCCTCTCTTCATTACCCCTGCCTCCAAAGGCACTGCCAGGGGCCAGTTGTCAATCGAAGTCGTGCAACAGATCACCGGCAAACCCAGGAACAGAAACTGCAACTGCCGAAACCTTCAATCGGTTACGCACAGATTAAAAGAGGGGCGACATCTGACAGTCTTTGGCGAGACGGAGACTTACAGGTCCAGCCTCACCTAATTCTGATCGCACACATTTACAGCTGTATTCAGAATCCCTCTAAAGAAGGCAGAAGTGATGAGGATGGGCCCTTGAAGAGCCCTGGGCGGTGAGGTCTTCGCCACCGTCATAGCGCGAAGGGAGGTCTGAGCAGCTTGGCGGCATCTGGCTCACAAACCTCATTTGAAAATGAGACTGAAGTGTTGGCGATTGCCAATGAACCGGCATGAAATCTGCGCTTAGGACGAGGAAGAGCCGGTTTTGCAAGCACTGGAAATATCTGTGCTTTTCTAAAAAGCATAAAGTATCTAGAAATGAGACTTCAGTTTGTGTGTCAATCGTCAGCACTACAAAGGACTTGAACGACCGGCTTGGTGCTAAATACTAACCCAGCACCCAGCAGTTTGCAAGCAGAGCCAAGAAAGGTCATATTGCTGAAGATTCGCAAAGAGAAGGGGCATTTGGGTAGAGAAAGTTAAGGTAATGGAGCTGCCCATGTATAATTAAAATCATCGAGGCAGTAGTTAGTCTGAACAGGAGGGTATCCATGTCATCCCATCTTTTTTAGTGCAGATACTATGCATTTTAACAATGAATCAGCAGTATTGCCACATGATTGCCCTGAAATTAGTAGGGATTAACCTTTTTTGGTAAGCTGAACATCTGTCCCCTTATGTGTCTGTGCAAGGCATATTCATTACTTTTGCAGATCATGTTACGAGACATTCTTTAGGAAGAAATGCAAACCCAGTGTCTCCCATCAAGATCCTAGGTGTGGGAAAAGTGAGGATTTGCATTTAGTGGAAGAGAACAGACCTTATTAAGAGCTTCGTTATAGCCTAGACGTATCTATGTAACTAGGATCTTTACAGAAAAAGAGAAGAAAAGAAAATATTTTAAAAAATCACCCAATTAACCCCTCCTCATTCTCCGCTCTTGCTTACGTGCCTGAAGGGAGAAATATTTGGTAAGATCATCCTCTCCCCAGTTCATAACCTCATCATCGCACAAGTCATTCCCGTAATTATGTTTCCACAGGTTCAAATTATAACTTTGCTTTCAGCAGACTTAGTATGCATTAAGCTTTTATTGTTTTAGGCACGGTGCAATAGTGAGACCCTATGTTTCTATAGCAACCAAATACAAAAGGAAATTGAGCAAACACCCTGGTATAATGCTGCAGAGCCTTGCAGATCTAAAATAAGACATCTGTTAATGAGCTCCAAATTGGAGATCTAATATCTTTTCAGTATACTAGAAGACAGATTTTTAATTTCCATTGTTCAAGACAATGTGTCCAACTTATCTAAGCATCTATAGTGCACAAAGTAGAGACATCCAGAGCTGACTTGCCAGCAATTTTTTTACCCATTGTAAAAGCAAGTTTGCTAAATGTCACAATTGTATTTTTATGGTACCATCTAACTGATAGCAATCAGTTTTTGAAAATAAATGCTAGCAGTGGACAGTTTCTAGGTTACTGCATTCTTCAAAGTCGCATATCTCTCTCCCCCTCTTTGAATAGACAGATGTTTGGCAGAACAATGGTTCAGTCAAATTTCCACGGATTTTATCAACTTCCTAAAAAGCAAGGAATTTAACACCGAAGTATGATTACAATTGGAGAAGAGAGAAAGATACATGCAAGCAGGGAGGGGGGGAGGAAAAAGTACATGGAACTCATTTAGTAGATGGGGGGAGGAGGAGAGAGAATGGATTGCATCCTGCAAGCAGATCACACACCGGTTCCCTGACCCGGCTCCTGAAAGGAGAAGATTTCTTCTCCAGCTATGCACCGATATCCTCCTGAATCAGATCCTTAAATTAATATTTGTTCCTACCAGCCATTAAGTTTATAAGCAAAAAAAAAAAAAAAAAAAAGGAAAAAGAAAAAAGGAAAAAAAAAGAAAAAAAATCAGCAGTAGAGATATCTGAAACAGTTTAACACATCAGGGTTCAGGCTCAAAGCCCTCCTTGCTGGGTGTTACCTGAGTTCTGGGCTGCAACCCTGGGTTTCCTGGGGCTCACAGAGTCATTCTGTTCAGCTTCATAGGATGCAGATGCACTGATCACCAGCAGCAGGAGAAAACCAGACTTTAGGAGCATTCTCTGACAAGTTTCCGCTAAGTGTGGTTTTTTTGGGTGGTTTTTTTTTTTTTTTGGTTGGCTTTTTTTTTTTTTTTTTTTTTTTTTTTTTGGGTGTATGTGTGTGTGTGTGTGTGTCTCTCTCTCTCTCTCCTCTTCCACTTCGGCTTGAGCAAAGATGTGGAGCTGGATACGCGCTCGCAGGGGGAGAGAAAGGAGTCTGCCGAGGCTCAGGGACGTGCCGCAGCCCGACTCTGCCCGGCCCCTCTGGCTCCTGCTCGCTGGGGGACCAGGAGCTGCGCCGAGGGCTTTTATAGCCGCCCTTATCGGTCCCCCCGCGGGCTGCCGAGCCAATCGCGAGGCGCTGGGCAGAGCCAATGGCAGACTGGACTCATTCAAGCCCCAGAAAACTGCAACTTCACAGGAAGAATATTTTTCCAGCCAATTAAAAGTACCTGCCAAACAACAATCACCAAGAAGTTAATCTTTGGGGAGGCGGTGGGAAAGGGAGGGGGGGGAGAACGGGGCTTCCTATGGATAATTGAGCTCAGGGAAATGACAGGGCAGTCCTAAATCATCCCCCCCCCCCCCAAAAAATCACCTGCCCTTTAAGAAAAGATATTTCCCCATCCGTTCCGCGGTTATCCCGGGGTTACAGCAGCTTGGCAGAAGGGAAGGGGCATTTCTGGACGATGGGGGCTGGCACGGAGCCGTCGGGCGGGGGGGGGATCAGCTCTGCCCCTGACCCCCGCCCCCCGAAAAGCAAAGAGGCCGTACCTGCGTGCGTGGGGAGCGGAGGCATCGCCCCTCGCCTGCCAGAGCACGTGTGCGCAGCACAACCCGTGCACAAACACACCGCGCCTCACGTAGGCACATGCAAATACCCCCTCGGTGCCTAAAACCTTATTCCCCGCACCCCGCATTCCTTATCTTCCCCTCACTGGCACCATTACCTTAATAAAACCACGCGTTCATACCTCAGACCTCGGCGTAGTCTTGCTTTTACTGCTTCCCAGTGAAGCTCAAGAAACAAATTTTTAGGTGTTTGGTGGTTTTCCTCTACGCTCCCCCCCCCCCCCCCCCCCTCCCCCCATTCAATCCTGTTTTTCAGATTTCATAACGGGAGGAGGCACCCTAATGCTTGATTTAATCTTCATTTTAATAGGCACATAATGAGGATTAACACACTAGAGAACTGATTATCCTGTATACCAGAAACAATTTAAAGCTCTGAGTATTTAAGGGATGAAAGTATAAGCAGTAGTATTAAGCCTCAGAGCTGAAAGGGAGTCGGGAAGGTGCACAGAGAAAGAAGATTTATAGATAAAAAGTTACAAGTTCCTGCAGCTTAGAATAAGTCGAAAGATTTAGATATCTGATATTACTGATCAGAGACAAGATAGCTCCTTTCGGATCTTGAGCGTGTTTGATTCTCACTCAGCTATCCCCACGATCTTTTCTGTCGAAGGAAAAATACTCTCGTCTCTGTGGTGCCAGGCAAGGAAATGCAGCTGGAATAGATTCATAGATCCGTCCACGTACAGAAGTTCCGTTTGGATGAACCAATTCTACAAATCTCATTTAAGTGGAAGTGCAAAAAACCCTCGTCCTGTGAGCATTCGTTCAGGTTTATGGGTGGCTAAATTTAAAAGTCAATAAGGAAGCAATTTAAAGAAAAACAGAAGTAGCCTCTTCCTTAGTGAAGCTCCAGAAACAGTGTCCACTGCTTTACCTCATTCCTGTCTTTTTTTTTTGCATAGGTTTGACAGCTCTGACTGTGACAATGGGACCACTCTGGTTCCTCGCCCCATCCCGGAGCTCTGATTTTTTCCAAGAAGGAGCTGACAGCTCAGTTTGGGCTGCACAGCCCCATTCGTGTTGGCATATTTGGTGTCAGCTTCAATTGGAATAGGAACAGGAGCGAGGTTGTACTCCTGCCTTGGGGTCAAAATAACAGCTGTGCCAGATGTTCCAAGAACATTCAAAAAGCACTGAAACAGAAGGGTTTCGGGTTTCGTCTCAGTTTTGTGACACTGAGCCAATTTCATTAAATAAAAAAAAAATAAAATAAATAAAAAAAAAAAGCTGCCCTGCAAAAGCACTGTGGTTTCTCTACTTAATAGGACCAGTCCAGTTTGCAAGTGAGAATAATCCCATAGGGTTTGATTCTGATTAAATCAAAAGCAACTCTGGCATTGACTTCAATGGGGGATGAATCACCATTCTATCTAAGTCCTATTTGGAGTGGAAGCATTGCATTTTCCACAAAATTGAATTTCAAACTCAAAGCCTGATTTCTCCACCCCTTCACCCCCAAGGTGAACATTCCTACTTGTCTTTTTTAATGTTTCAATCTGAACTGTAAGTAGTTTGCAAAACAAAACAGGTTGTCCTGGCCCTCTGAGCACGTATACATCCTGATTTGAGTCCAGGTGTAAGCAAAAATTAGTACCAAGCAGCTCCTATAGATATGGAAATTATTTCAGCACATCTTCTATTCTTTCTCATATCATTATCCCGGAGTTGATTTACTCCTTTAGGGACGTATTTGTACCAGCTGCATATTTTCAAAGCAACCTGTTTTAATTACTAATGGCAATAACCGGAGATCAACTGTAAGATGAGGCTCAGCTTGGTAAGGAGAATGTCACTACAGTACAGGGCGATATATTGGATCAGGACACATGCAGACGTTGTAACACCAGAAAAACTTTATTGAGTCTCCAAAACGACCCTGTGATGGCAGTACCTTTATTAATGCTTGCAGAAAGAGGGAAAACGAATTCAGGAGTGCAGGACCCATCCTGAGTTGCTGTCAAATTTGTCAGGAGACTTGTACAAGCAAATTTCGGCACGAGACACTTGAGTCCTTTGGTACTAGAGCATATTTGCATTACTTATTTTGCACACTGAAGGCAACAAGAACTGCAATATCCCTCTGTAACTTCTATTCTGCCCTCACCGTACGATGGCAGAGGAGCTTGGCTTCTCTCTTGTCCTCAGGTTTCTAAAGAGGAAAAGAAAAAACCCAGTGCAGGACTCATTAGGCTGTTCAAAGATCGGTGGTTTGCCCATTCCAGGGGTCATGCCTTTAAGACTGTTCCTAGAAGGTTTAGGGACACAAGAAGAATACCCATTACAGGGCAAGATTTTCCCTAAAAAAAATCTTCTTTCCTCCTGTTCTCAGTTAAGAGCTGGCCTATACCCTGGAGATCTCACCAGAAGAGGAAAAAAAAAAAAAAAAGAAAAAAGAAAAAAATGAAAACCCAGAAGAAGTTCCACTCTTCATTACTAAAGGCTCGGCATAACCTGCTGGAAGAATTTTCTCTGTAGCTTCCCTTACAGGCTAAATGCTGCCCTGAAGTAGAAGGGTTGGTTTCCTGGCTGATACGTGTAAAGAGAGAAAAGAAAGGCACTGTTAGCCCTGAGTGAACCGTCCCATTCTTTCCATTTCCATTCAAGAGATCCTATTAAATCGAACAGTACACACTATTGTACCACCGCTACTCTATTCCCAAGGTGCTAAGATTTTTCTCCAACCTCAATAAGAAATATAAGAGAAAAGAAGAGAAAAGAAGAGAAAAGAAGAGAAAAGAAAAGAAAAGAAGAGAAGAGAAAAGAAGAGAAGAGAAAAGAAGAGAAGAGAAGAGAAAAGAAGAGAAAAGAAGAGAGAGAAAAGAGAGAGAAAAGAAGAGAGAGAAAAGAAAAGAAGAAAAAAGAAGAGAAGAGAAAAGAAGAGAAAAGAAGAGAAGAGAAAAGAAGAGAAAAGAAGAGAAAAGAAAAGAAGAGAAGAGAAGAGAAGAGAAGAGAAGAGAAGAGAAGAGAAGAGAAGAGAAGAGAAGAGAAGAGAAGAGAAGAGAAGAGAAGAGAAGAGAAGAGAAGAGAGAAAAGAAAAGAAAAGAAAAGAAAAGAAAAGAAAAGAAAAGAAAAGAAAAGAAAAGAAAAGAAAAGAAAAGAAAAGAAAAGAAAAGAAAAGAAAAGAAAAGAAAAGAAAAGAAAAGAAAAGAAAAGAAAAGAAAAGAAAAGAAAAGAAAAGAAAAGAAAAGAAAAAGGAAAGAGGGGAACCCGAAGTCAATACCCGCTCCCCCCCCCGCTTTGTGCTCAGCTGCTCCCTGGCTGGAAGCTGCTGCTCGGGCAGCGGCCCCCCCCCCGCATTGTGTAACTCGATCCCTGCCCACCTTTCAGCCCCCCCCTTCCCCAGCACGGGACCCCCCCTCCGTTCGCTCCGCTCCGGAGGGACGTGAGCAACTGCATCACCTCGGGAGTGAGCAGCGCTCCGCCGGCTCGTCCCCGCGCGCCGGCTCCTTCCAAGCCAACGCGCCTCCTCTCACGCCGCCTCCCGCGGCCGCGACACTTTGGCACCCACGTACGCAGCCACCCCGCCCTTTCCTCGCGGGCCGACACGCCGCGGTCACCTCCGGCGACACGCGAAAAGGGGGGGGGGACCGGGGGGGGGGGCTTGCCGAGCACCATCCCGCTCAGCACCGCGGGCGCGCAGGGCCCCGCGGCCGAGCTGCAACCCGAACGCGCGTTGGACCCCCGCGGGCAACGCGCCGTGTGCTGCGGGGATCCAGCCGGCCTTGAGGGCTCGCCAGCCGCCTGCGCACGTCCCGCTGGAGCAGATCCTCAACAGGTGCACAGCGGGGTAACCGCCGAATTCCGGAGCAGCCCTTCACCTACGCCATTATCCTGATGCGTCACTACACGCTGTCTGGATGCAATTCCCCCGCCGTCGAGTTATAAACCGGGAGTAGCTTCAATTACACTGACAGTATAAAAGCGAAGTAAGGGAGAGGCTAAGCAGAACCTTTTAATTTGTTTAGCCCAAATGAATAACCCTGGCTGCGCCGGGGCAGGTGATGTCAGAACTCGTTCCAAAAGGCAGGATGCAATTTAAGAGTTACCTGGGTGTCTGCCCCAACAAAGCCACTTGGATCCCTCTACAGGCTTTGGCCTTCGCTCCATAAACCTGGCAACAACAACAACAAAAAACCTGCTCGAAATCTTCTCATTAAACAAAGGGATTTAATATCTCTCGATTTATATGCAAAAAGTCAGAATAGGTTTAACTGTGTCGCATTCGCTGTATGTTTAAGGTACGATCGTTAAATGCCCAACATAAA